GAGCCTTCTTAACCTTTAGCCATGGCTGGAGTAGACAGTAAATTCTTTTGGAGTGTTGAATTTCTCAGAGGGTAACCATAGAGCAGTGGTTCTCAACCTTCCTAATGCTGTGACCCTTTTAATACAATTCCTCATGTTGTAGTGACCCACAACCATAAAATTATTTCCTTATTACTTCATAACTAATTTTGCCATTGTTATGAGTCATAGTGTGAATATCTGATTTGCAGGGTATAACACAGGAACAAAATATAGCTTTTCTACTTGTTTTAAAATAGCTTTTCTACTTGTTTTAAACGATTTGTAAACCAAAAATTAATTTGGATGTTGCAGATCCATTTCTGAATACAGAAACCATTTATTTGCATGAGCATTTTTTCCCTCCAAAATTTATTGCAACTTGGACTGGCCTAGAACTTGCTATGTAGACTGGGCTGGCCTTGAACTCACAGATCTGCCTTTCTCTGCCTCTGACTACTAGGATTGTGTGCCACCATTCCTGATTCCATCTAAGATTCTTGAGGGGTCATATTCAGGCTGTGGATGGAGGGAATATCACTGTATTCATTTTTATTAAGTATGATAAAAAACAGTCTGATAATACAGCTGGTATGGGGGTAGGGGATATCATAGATACCTTAGGAATTTAGTATTGTTTTTCTAACTTGAGAATTTATGATACTGAATAGTTAACAATTATGCCTTAAGAATTTTAGTTTCGAAGGATGCTATAAATTATTTGACATTAAATTATAGCCTCATGTGAATAATATTCTCATTGTTTTAACATGGTTTCTTAACTCATGTCGGCTATAAGTAGTTTGTTACTCTGATCTAACTTTGGTAACCATTAGATATCAGGATTTTGTCATCTTTTTTAAAAGAACATAAATAACAATATATTTTGTTTTTAGGGTCCACCTAAATATACAAAATCTATTCTAAAAAAGGGAGATAAAACCAACTTTCCTAAAAAGGGAGACATTGTTCACTGCTGGTATACAGGGACACTCCCGGATGGAACTGTTTTTGATACTAATATTCAAACAAGTAAGTCTTATCTTTTGTGCAGTAGAAAGATGAGCAAGGGCCATTCTTTTTCTTTGCTGTTACTTGTCCCTGATGTCTTTTGTACCAGGATTTTCTTAGTGGTCTACCATTTACAGGTTGTTGCCTGGCTAATCTTGATCAGTTGGGAAGCAAAGGTAGGACTGGAGGAAAGCTTTGTGTGTTTTAGAACCAATAGACTATTAAAGAGGGTTAGCTTGGCTCTGAGTTACGGTACTCCAAGAGCACAGTGGAAGTGCCATCTGCTCTGCGCCTGGTGTCATGTGCTGTCTGTCCTAAAAAAAGTGGGGACTACAAGAAGAGAAGCATTTATGTGGCCATGATTGAGGGAAGTCAGTGCCATAGCTCCACAGGAATGAGGGACTTGTTCCTATTGAAAAAGCATTCATCTCCCTTTTGCATTTAATCACCACTTAATAGGTTCCCTTGAAGCCTTTCTATCAGGTTAGCAAGGAAAAGCAATATTCAAACCTAGTAGTATCCCTGAATACTTTAAAAGACAAAATAGAAATAATCCCAGCACTCTGGAGACAGCAGGCAGGAAAGTTCATTGTACGTTCTAGTTCTAAGTAGTGAGTTCTAGGCCAGCTATGTAATAATATTCTCCTTCAAACAAAGAATGAGGCAGTACAGCATGTTATTTAGTGGTCCTTATCCTCTGCTTTCCGGGTGTTTTCACCTTGAGGCTACAGGCAACTGTAAGTAGGTAGGGGTGTGTGTGAGTCTCACAACAATCATATACTTGAAACATGTTTAAGATTACTTTTGTGACTTTGTTAGGCAGTTCTTAAATACCTAATATTACAGTTTAGAAGGTAATTAAAACTGCATTATTTGATTTAAAGATAAATCTGTTCTGCAGGTTCAAAGAAGAAGAAAAATGCCAAGCCTTTAAGCTTCAAGGTTGGAGTTGGCAAGGTTATCAGAGGAGTAAGTAGAATCCCTGGTATTCTAACAGATGTTGTTTGTGGTGTTGTGAGGCTCCTAAAAAGTTTGGATTGTGGGGATGGTGAGCACCTTTGTGATGGAACATTTGACCAGCATGGTCTTACTGCACTGGATTCTGAACATGTCTCAGTTATTCTTTTTTTGTGCAGTGACACCATGATCATATAATTGGAGGCTTGCATAGTGTCAGAGGCACAGTCCATTAATAATACCATAGTAGCGAGCATGAAGGCATGGTGCTGGAAATGTAGCTGAGAGCCCTACTTCCTGATCTACAGGCACCTGGCAGAGAGATGCTGGGCCTTGGCATGAACATTTAAAACCTCAGAGCCCACACCCCAACAACATACCTCCTCCAACAAGGCCACACTTATTTTTGTTTTTCAAGACAGGGTTTCTCTGTGGATCACTTTGTATATCAGGCTAGTCTCAGAGACCCACCTGCCTCTGTCTCCCAAATGCTGGGATTAAAGATGTGTCCCACCACACCTGGTAAGGTCACACTTCTTAATCATTCAAACCAGTTTATCCAGTTTATCAGCTGGGTACTAAACTCAAATATATGAGCCTATGGGGACGTTATCATTCAGACACCAAAGCACACAAGAGACATTTTGTAGAAGTCCAATAATTAGGGTTGGAGATAGAATGAAAATAATCCTTAAAGGCAGACAGGCTTTGTAGTATCCTTGCTGACTGACCTGGTACAAGTTTTTTAGGTGTCAATTTCTCAAATTGGAGGCTCCACCCATCTATATATCATAGCCAGGCCTATTTAGAGACCCTGTCTCAAAATAAACAAGAATACTGATAAAACTCCAGAGCTATAAGGTTTAGGGAGTATAATTTAATATAATGGGGATTCATACAGTAGTATAAGCTTACCGAAGAAAAAAACAGCCTTTCCTGAGTTTTGTTTTTAACATGAGACGGAAGTTTTATTGGGAGGAGTTGGGGAAAGGGAAGGGAGACAGAAAAGTGAGACAGATCTGTCTGCCTCAGAGAAATAGCAGAAAGAGCATTTAAGATCTGCTTAAAGCCGGGCAGTGGTGGCACACGCCTTTAATCCCAGCACTGGGGAGGCAGAGGCAGGCGGATCTCTGTGAGTTCGAGGCTGTGCTGGACCGACAGCCTCGAAAACAATACAGAGAAACCCTGTCTCATAAAAACAAACAAACAAAAAAGACAGTACATAACTTTTTTGTCATATGTGCTTATAGAAACAGGGTTTTATTTTTTTCTAAGTCTTTGAGACATCAACATGCCTTTGCCCAAGCATATGAGAAATAACAAATCTTTTTTTTTTTTAAAGATTTATTTATTACATATACAGTGTTCTGCCAGAAGAGAGCACCAGATTGAATTGTAGATGGTTGTGAGCCACCATGTGGTTGCTGGGAATTGAACTCAGGACCTCTGGGAGAGCAGTCAGTGCTCTTAACCTCTGAGCCATCTCTCCAGCCCGAGAAATAACAAATCTTAAGTATCAACTATTATACTACATTGAAATTATAAGTTGGGTTGATAATTTCCCTCAAATTATGTTTATTTTTTAGTTTTTCAAGACAGGGTTCCTCTGTGTAGCTTTTATTCATGTTAGGGACTACCTGTTTTATTGTAGTTGCTCAGAAACTCAAATGGTGACATCCAAAATGTTTACCTAATGTAGGTATAAAAATGTGACATACTGCTTTAAGTGTAAGATGAGGCTTGAAGATTCCTGTGTGGAACTCTAAACAGAAAATCAGGTTTTAGTAAAAGATGCAGCCTGACTGACTGACATGTATAAGGCTTGATCTTCAAACTAACAAGGAAAAAATAAACTGAGTGGAGCTCTGCTTTGAACTTGAGACTTTATATTGAAGAAATTGAAGACAAAGATTTAGGAATTTATCCAAGCACATTAGAGAAATAATTTTTAAAACATTATTTTGTTTTTTTGAGACAGGGTTTCTGTGTGAAACTGTCCTAGTTGTCCTGGAACTAGCTCTGTAGACCAGGCTGGCCTCTGTCTGTGTGAGATTAAAGGTGTGAGCCATTTCCACCTGGCTAAAAATTATTTTTACAGTAATGGTGGCACACACTTTAATCCCAGCACTGGAGAGGCAAGTGGTTCTGTATGAATTCAAGGCCAGCCTAGTTTACAAGTGTTCTGTATGTTTTATGGATATAAATACCCATGAAAGCCATAACAGAGTATTCCTTAGGCAGATAGGAGCTGCTTGATTTGGGTGCTGGGAGCTGAATTCTGCAAAAGTGTTAAGATCCCTTAATTTCTAAGCCATCTTCCAGCACCAAAAGAATTAAAAAATATGTATGTTTGCTGTTCTGTAATTCCATGCATTTTGTTTTTGCTTTTAGTGGGATGAAGCGCTCCTGACTATGAGTAAAGGAGAAAAGGCTCGACTGGAAATTGAACCAGAATGGGCCTATGGAAAGAAAGGACAGCCTGATGCCAAGTATCCTTTCTCTATTTTACACACACACACACACACACACACACACACACACACACACACACACACACACACACACACACACACACACACACCTCCCTTCCTGGAGGTGTGAAAGATGCTGTGGGAGCAAAATCAAGAATCATTTCTGTATAGCTTTACTGAGACAATCCTGTCTACTGAAGCCATAGGAATGTCATACTGCCTGGCTGATACTTTCTTCTGATACAAAGTAATCAAACTTTGTACAGATCTTCTTTTTTAATCTTCTTGCTGTTTTTTTTTTCTTTTAGATGAGAGTCTGTGTGCACCATGTTGACAACTGACATTTGGAATTCTTAAATTTCAACTTCTTGTGGAGAAAGGGTCTTCTGTAGCTTTGGCTAACCTTAAATTTCTAATCCACCAGATGCAGTGGTCATATTTATGGGACAGTTTTGTGTTATTTAACTGAGTAAGAATTTAAAATTTAGAAATAGAACAAACAAACAGTGGTTACCACATGTAAAATGAAGACCACAAGACAAATGTTAGTAAGCATTTATTAATAATTACAGTACTTCTATGACAAATTGGTTTGTCAGCATTTACAAAAAACAGAAAGGCAATGATTCTACCATTTAGGCTTTAATAGTTAAGTGGAAAGTAGTTATTAGCTGTTGATTCCATACTTGTTGGCCAAAATAGTTTTTATAGTAGGATTTGTGGGGGATAAGGAGTGAAGTTCAGGTTGGAAGTCCTCTCTAGTCTTAAAAATTTAAATTCACAGAGCAAGTTCCAGAACAGGCTCCAAAGCTACACAGAAACCCTGTCACAAATAACAAAAAGTTAAAATTCATTTCAGCTAGCTGGCAACTTCATCTCATGTGAAAGCATTGTTAAGATTGATCTGATGTGTACAAAGAAACCATTACCTTTTTTTTTTCCCCTACTTTGTTTTTTGGAAATAGTTTCTCTGTGTAGCCCTGGAACTGCCTGCCTCTTCTAGTTCTGGCATTAAAGTTGTTAATGTCAGCAAGCACTCCTGAACTTAGCTTTTTAATACAATAGGCGTCATTCTCTGCCTTAGATGCTGATTCACTCAGATGTTTTAAGTACTATAGTAGCCTTCATAAGATAATGGCTAATTCGGTACATTAGTGAGTCATTCAGGTAAGAATAGTTGTTGAAATTCAACTTTTATGGTTTCTACTGATCACTTAGGAAACTTAAGATAGCCTCTGAGTCAAATACAAATCTCTTAAATTTATTGGGACAACCTCTCTGGGCTACCTTTGAACTAACCATCTTCACCACAAAAATGTTGGGACTTAGTAAGGGTGTATCACCAAACAACTCTCTTCCTTTCCTTTTGAGTTTAAATTACTAATAGCCAAATTTCACAATTCTAATATTATACTGTGATTTAGTGTTTGGGGTAGAGGCACTTTTCATCAAATTTACCTTGACCATTTCTTGCAGAATTCCACCAAACACCAAACTCATTTTTGAAGTGGAATTAGTAGATATTGACTGAAACCAATGCTTCAGATCTGAAGACATCAGCAACAATAAAAACTTGGCCTTGAAACTTAATGTGACTAATTAGAGCTTGTTAGTACTTTAAGGGAAGAATGGACTGGAAAATCCAAGGAGTTAAAGCTTGTTTACTTGATTTGAGAAATGTAATCCCCTGGAAGTCCCTTTAAGTCTCAGATATTTTACTATAGCTGTGTAAAGTATTAAAGAGAACTGCTTTTCCTTTTACCTCATATTATAAACTAAAAGGCTCAATAAAAATGTCATGGATTATCTTGATTTGACTGATGTACTCTGTTGCTGTACTAATGTTCAGATTAGGTAAAGTAGAACTCAGGAGTTCCTCTGTTAATCAAGGTGGCTAGCTTTGTCTAGGACATTTTAAAAATAATACTCTATGGTGAAAGGTCAAGAAGATAATAAATTTAGAGAAGAAATCATACTTCAATGTTTGTATTTGGTATGCCTCCCACAAATGAATTCATAAACAATTGCTGCATGAGTCATTTTTATTACAAAAAAAGATAACTGATCAAAATGAAAGCTTACAAATTTTACATGAATATTTTAGATACAAAGTTTTCAAAGCATACTTTGATATTTCATTTCTTAAGGGGATGCTGACATACTTTCTCGTTTATAATATTAATAGTTCATCTTTCTTGCAATTAGAGCCAAATTTCCAACTATAACTGAAACATATAGACAACCTTAGGATATCTTAAATCCTATTTTTAAGGAGAGAAAATTCTCAGTAACCAGCCCTTTTTTTTTCCCAGAATCTTGTAACTGACATGATTTGCAGTCAGTTTTTTTTTTTTTCCTACACTTAAGGCTACAAATCTCTTGCATGAGTTGCAAAAGAATTCTAGACCACTTAATGAAAATAAAATAAAAATAGTTCTTCAATAAAAAGTAAATTTTAAAAATGGTAGGAAAGTTTCTATGGTACACCAATTGACATTTTCTACGATTAGCTAAACAAATGTTATACAGAAACTGGGAAGACATTATCAAATACAACAAGCTTATGCTATGTTTACATCCTTCAAAAAATAATTCCACATTTCTCATATAACCAATCTGAAATTTACATTTTTCCATCAGGTTGGAGGTGGAGGATAATACTGTCCATAATTCCAAGGATTCTGATAATTGTACTGAAAAGGTAAAAGTAAAATATGTCAGCATACTAGTATAAAATTAAACTGGTAAAATTCCACTACTAACCACATAAGGAAATATACAATGCAGAACCATTGCAAAGAATAAATTACGAAGACCTACCTGATACCAGGCACTGTAATTATATGCAGCTTGATTTGCCTGTAAATCCCCATCAAGGATCTGTGCAGATGACATATCTTCTGTGTGCACTTTCTTTTCTTCTGGTTCTTCTGAACTATATAAAAGGTCAAGATAAAAACTCAAATTTCCCATAGATAGGAACTTTTCTAGATGATTATATTATATACATTTATTGTAGTTAATGCTTTCAACCATCTTTTGGGAGCAAGGTGCTGTTCAGAACAAGATAGTCCGGGGTGGGGACTGCAAACTGGTAAACAGACCAAAGGCTAAGCCCAGTTTACTTTTTGTTATGGAGCAATCTCCAAAACTTCTCCATCCTAAGAACTTAACCTACCATTAATATATTTATGAGTTGCCATCTACATTAGCTGCCAATAGCAGATGGTACGGATCCCTGTCCTCAAATGACCAACAGTAGTCTGCCACTTTAATATATTTCCAATCTGGCCTTTGACTTTATAGCCTTCTTACTCTCCACAGATCTACACTACAGTTCTCCATTCATACAGGGAGACCTCTTGCTGAGAAATTACATACTCAGTTCTTTCTTTGTGCCAGAGGTAGCAAACTGGCCTAAGGTCTGGATGTGACCTATGCTTTGTTTTTTAGTTCAGTGTGGTGGTGCATGCCTTTAATCCTGACCAAGTAAAAAACCAGAAACTGTCTACACATTTCTGCATAACCAGTTACAGCTAAGCAGCTATGCTGTAGATGAACAAACATCACAGGACAAACTTACCTCCAATTATTTCTAGCTACACAATCCTATTGTAACTGCCACCAGATTGCTTTGAACTATCATTCCAACTATAAGCATTTCCTAACAACCCTCAACTTAAGGTTAGTGACCCAACTCTAGTCATCATCAGTCTCATCTCCAGGTTCAAGGAAATCTTCATTTTGGGGCCTTGAAGAGTGGTAGGCTGAAAGTGGCCTTCATACTTGCTTCTAAGCTCAACCATCTGTGGTATTTTTTTCCCCAAGCCATATAAAAAGTATACAGTTATAATATAGAAGTCACACTCAAAAGTACATGTTTTTAAAAAGAACTTTCAATTTCATATGGGAAAAAAAATTTTAAGCATCCCTTCCTGATTTATCATGGATTTACATACCCATTTTCAGCTTTCCTTTTTAAGGTATCCTGTTCTTTTAGAAGTGTTTGATGTTCATCATATGCATTCAGAAGCCTGAAGTGGAAGGTAAAGAATACCCTTAGGGATGTATTTTTAAAAAACAAAACAAAAAACCCGAGCTCACATCTATTTCTAACTGGTATCTCTGTCTTGTCTTTTAAGACTGAAATCTTAGTTAAAGGGCCTACATAGTACCTTTTCATTGAACCAGTAATTTGGATATTACTACCAAGTCAAAATGATAGTCCATTTAATTCTGTAGGTACCAATTCTAAGAATTTGCTGTTTAATGCTGATGGTTCAATCTCTGAACTTCAAAGGCACAATGCAATCAAGATCCTTGTTCTGGAGAGGTGTAATACATATTTTTATGCTGTTAACCCTTACACTTAGGAGGCAGATACATCTCTGAATTCAAGGTGACCTAGGAATACAATTTAAAACAACAACAGCAAAAAACCCTACTTTGTTCTGGTGAAGTAGGTTCAATGGGTCAGTGCAGTGGTTCTCAACTTTCCTCATGTTTCAACCCTTTAACATAATTCCCCATGTTGTAGTGACCCCAAACTATCAAATTATTTTCATTCCTACTTCATAACTAATTTTGCTACTGTTATGAATCATAATGTAGATATTTGATAATGCAGAGTATTTGGTATGTGACCCCCTTGAAAGTGGTTGAGAACCACTGGGTCACTGGGTAAAGTACTTAACTGCCATGTACAAGGTCTTGGATTCAATACTTAGACTATGTCACATACTATTCCACTCATGCATGTTACATGTATTCTATTTCCATCACTGTGCTTCTCTCTTTCTTCAGAATCCACTAAGGACAAAATGAGAATACCTCTTCTAGGAAGTTTGACAGATAAAGTCTATACTATTTCATATACTTTTGTAGAATCCAAGAATCATATTATCCCAATGAAAAGCAAGCTTTACATAAAGTCAGTCCTTCTGTGTACCTTTTTCAGTGTAAAATACTGATTATATCGTATACAAGGTAGTTAAGAGCAGAAACTATGAAATAAGATGTGAGTGAGCCTCTCTTCATCAACTAAAATAACAGTATATTCATTTAAATGGCTATGAATTTTATACTACATAAATATAAAATACTTAGCATGATTTCAAGAACTAAACACTAGCTGCTCTGTTAAGATGAAAATTTACCATCAAAAACAAGCACATGCCTACAGACACTCAAGTTTCAAATGGTTTCCATAGAAATCAGTGTAAATCATATCAGCAAAGGCATATACATGCTATTAGGCACTGGGATATTTATTTACTTTTTTTTTTTTTTTTTTTCCGAGACAGGGTTTCTCTGTGGCTTTGGAGGCTATCCTGGAACTCACTCTGTAGACCAGGCTGGCCTCGAACTCACAAAGATCCGCCTGCCTCTGCCTCCCGAGTGCTGGGGATATTTATTTACTAACAAGAGAAAGACTGGAACTTTACCAATGTTGTAGGCAATATTTCTACTTTCAGGGTTATCAGATTTCAATCTCAAATTTAGATTTTGCCCCCCCAAAGCTATTGCAAACACTTGCATCATCCTCAACTTTTAAGTTTTTAAGATTCAGGAGGATGAATTCAATAAGCAAGATCAGTGTGACCACATCTACCTTCTTTACCAAGCTGAGATAAAATGGCATTTCTTACCCATTAGTCAGTCCTATCCTAGCTCTGCATGTTGCTGAGGACTGAATTCAGGGTCTTGTACATGACAGACACATAACTCCACCACTGAGCTTTACATCAACTACAGCCATCCCACGTTCCTACCTTCATGTGTCTCATAGTTGAGTTTTTAACTTATTTGTGTGGGGCCCACATGGTGGAAGGGGAGAACTGACTGCTACAAATTGTCTTCTGACCTCCATATGTGCACCATGGCATATGCACACACAAATAAAATAGTTCTGAAGACTTGATAAAGCTTCAGTCTATTAAGCATACACCCATTTACTAAACTGAATTTATTTCTACATGTCTCTAAAGGAAAAGTAGCCTTAACAAACATTTTTAAATTTAGCTTAGCTCCAACAACGTAGTTCAGGACATAAAGCATGATCTGGGAAACCCTGATGACCTGAGTTTGATCCCTAGCACCATGAAAAGGTAAGAGAAAACCCCATGAAGTTACCTTCTGATTTCTTCACATACATCTTAGAACACATGAACCCTCTCCTATACCTATCCATCATACACATAATAAAATTTTTAAATAAATTTAGAAATATATTAATTAACCACAAATTCTCATCACAATAACAATGCTCATGTTCCATTCAAAAAGATGATGGATTTACGATCTTACTTATTAACATCTGAACCAAAGTCTTCAAGGAATTCCACTTTTCTTTGGGAAAATGTAATTCTCATTTTAATAGGCAATGAGCCATGTATGGCTTTGTCAAAGCAATTGAGGATATTTTCTTCATTTTGTTTGAGGTCACAACTGTATTCCATTTCAAGTAAATTGAGGTATAACTTTGTGTTCTCCTGAGCAAAAAGCAGTATCAGTTAGTAACATTCCTACAATATTTTAATTAAAGCATAAGTATTTATGATTAAAATATAACTCATATCAATGTTTTCAGCATGTATATAATGAAGTGAAACATATTCTTGAGGAAATATTTTTCCCTGTCCTGTGACACTAAGAATAGTAGGCAGGTACTCTATTACTGGGTCACAATCCCTGTTTCCTTAGCAATATTCTTATTTCCCAAACTGCGCTATGTTGTTACATGCTAAGCAATTCAAGCTCAATATCCTATGTTAGTTAATTGGACTTGGTCTAGTTTGGAAATTAAAATACAAAAGGATAATCTATATATTATACCTCTACTTGTGATTACAAATAATTATAAACTTGCAGCTGGGCGTTGGTGGCACACAACTTAATCCCAGCACTCGGGAGGCAGAGGCAGGCGGATCTCTGTGAGTTCGAGGCCAGGCTGGACCGACAGCCTCCAAAACAATACAGAGAAACCCTGTCTCGTAAAAAAACAAAAACAAAAAACTATAAACTTGTATCTTCAACAGGCCCAATACAGCTTAAATCTACAAAAGGAAGCATTTTCAATACACTAGCTTCTATTATTATACAAAAGGAATTTTTTTGTTTTTGTTTGGTTTTTCAAAACAGAGTTTCTTTGTGTAACAGCTTTGGCTGTCATGTAACTAACTTGATGTGTTCACCAGGCTGGCCTCCAACTAAGAGATCTGCCTGCCTCTGACGCATGAGCGCGGGCATTAAAGGTGTGAGCCACCACCACCTGGTAAAAATAACTTATGCAAAAGACAATCATCATACTGCTTTTTTTGACACTGTTAGCTGTTGCTCCTAGTCTTCTCCCTGGCTCTTTAATCATTAAGTTTATACAATTTCTACCACAATATTTACAATTTTAACTCAGTAATCATAATTTCCTCAAACTTTAAATTCAAAATAATTAGAAAAAAAATGTTAAAAATGGCAACATCAGTTTAGAGGGACTTTTGTCCTCATTTAGTAATAACATATATTACTGTATAGACCAAATCTTTCATCACAGTTGCCAAAGGGAAAAAGCACTAGTTTTTTTTTTTTTTTAATATGCATACCTTATCTCTTTCAATTGCATCCAAAAGCACCTTTCTTGATTTTGGAAGATTCTTTTGTATTTTGAAAAGATGTCGGGCTAGTTTGATAGCATAAAATGATGATTCATTATTTGATCTGGCATTCTTTATAGCATCTTGAAGCAACTGTTCAGCTTCTTCCATATTTCCATGACGTCGTTCTAAACTTACTCTTCGCAGTCGAATCATTGCCAATCCTAGAACACATTCTTCAAACGTTCTCAAGATAGTTCTGGCTTCATTAATGTTACCTAAAATCAAATATTTACACTTTTATTTAAATTTCTAAAATAGACTTTATATCACTTGCTTAAATTTCTGAAATAGACTTGATATCAAGAATTGAAACACAGCCCACAGGCTAAATCTAGGTCTCTATTTGAGGGGATGTGGGGAAGTAATAAATAGCCATGCTTATTTTGCACTGTCTACGGCTAATCTTAGGATATGACAAGGCTGAGTTGTTAAGGAAACAACATAGCTTTATAGAAGTAATTAATCAAATTCTTCTTTATACATCCTCCAGTACTCAATTTTTGTAATTGCAAACTGACAAAGTGCTAAATAAAGTATCATTAAGGGGCTGGAAATAAGATTCAGCAGTTAGGAGCACGGGCTAAGGACCCAGGTTTACTTCGCAGCACCCAAAACCATCTGTTAAATGCAGGCCTGAGATTCCATGCCCTCTTCTGGCCTCTGCAAATATTTAAGCACAGACATGCCATGTAGGAGAAACACCCATTCACATAAATTAATTAAAATAAATCAACTGAACCTTCTCCTTCTTACCCTGCTGCTCCTCAAAAGCTGCCCAAAGCATATGTGCCATGGGTTTCTTTGGAAGATGAACAGTGCAAGCTCTGCTGAAGACATGCCTCACTCCTTCAATGCTATGGTTTTCCATGTACTTGGCATACTACATACAGAAAAGAGGAAATACTGAATAATTTACAGTTGAACATGTGATTAAATATGTGACAGAACGATAAAATTCTATTTGTAAACCCATTCAGCACCTTTATTGAACCACTAGACTAGTTTCTGTAAGGAAGGACGAAGAGAGGCAACGAGGTTGGCATATGCAGCAGTCAAATCTGGTTGCAAGCAGACCATCTCCTAATGCAACAGATATAGTTATATGAACAACATTCAACAGAAGTACAAAAAAGGTTAGTCACTAGATCAATGTTTATAATATATTCAAGTTAAACACTACATAATTTTCTTACCTTAATCCAAAACTCCTCATAGAGGGCACAAGATATGACACATCTTTCAAAGAGAACCACAACTCTTTCATGAGTCCCATTTTCAATTTCGAATTCTAAGTATTCTTTCCAGTTTTTTAGTTGGGCCTTTTCCAATGGTTTCACATGAAAATAAGGTCTTTTAATCTGTAGAAAAAAAATTACTGTATGGCAATAAAAGTAAACCCAAATATTTTAAGTATAACGATACAAATTATTTCAAATACAAAGAAAAAATTTAATTTTTTTCCGGGGGGGGGCGTCTCTGTAGACCAGGCTAGCCTCAAACTCCCAGAGATTTGCTTGCCTCAGTCTCTCAAGTGCTTGCTGGCATTAAAGGCATTAGCCACTACACCTGGCATAAATTTTTTTAAAAATTAAGTTTAACTACTATGAGTTCAACAACAGAAAAGAATACATTTTCCATTTATTTGGTCTTTGTAAACAATATATATATTTTTATTTTTACTTGTGTGTGTGTAGCTACATGAGTTTATGTGCACTACTTGCATGCAGGTACAGGTACCCAAAGTTTAGAGGGTGTGGATCCTCTAAACTGAGCCCCCCCACAACATGGATGCTAGGAACCAAACTTGGATCGTCTATAAGAGCAGCAAACAATCTTAACCACTGAGATATCACACTAGTTCTATTTAGTCATTTTTATAATATTAAAAATTTTGTATAGACAATTTTATTCTTGGTTATGTAGTTCTAAAATGACCATTTTAACATAGTTATACAAGGACAGGAATGACAGTGGACAAGGAGACTATTTAAGGTAAAGGAATCATTCTTTATTTTGATTTCTAGTTAAACTATACTGTATATCCATCAAATTCTTTTACAGCCAGACACAAAACAATAGACATAAAACTCCATCCATAGGCTAGTCCATGATAGGGTAACTTGCAAAAAGAAAGCTATATTAAACCTTAAGCCTAGGGCTACGGAAGCCAAGTTGCAGGTTTGTAAGTAGAATAAGAAGAACTGAAGAGGAGAGGCGAGAAAAATGTAATCAAGTTGACTCTGCGAATAGTAACTATCTGTGAACTAATGAACTGCATACTTTATAACCTGTGACATATACTTTACACAGGCAGCCAGAAAATAGTTACATTTATAAGAAAAAATACCATTCACTTATAATGGAGAGGTGTGTCTATTTTTAATTTTTGTAAGTAACTGAAGATAACTTTTAATTTCTGAACCTTTTATCTCTAGCTTCCGAGTGCTGAGTTATAAGATTCGGTACCAAACCTGGTCTAAATGTGGTGCTGGGATCAGAGATTCATGCATGTTTGGGCAAGTGGTCTTCAAACTGAGCTTAATCCCCACCCTTAGGACAATTGTTCTGTTGTCCGTAAGGTATAACTGAATCAAGTTGATTTTTAAAGGTATCCACATTAATCAGGAATCTTGCATTTGAAATCTGAATGCAGTAAGATTCTAAAACTGGTCATGCGAAATGTTAAATACAACTGACATGTATACCTTGAGTTATTACTTATACAAAGATAAAGAAAAATTAACAAGGGTTTCACTGCTGTAAGAAGTAAAAAAAAAATCTTTTTATTATTTTGAGAACTTATAAAACACTTACACCTTCTTCAAATGTCCACCTCTTACTAACTTCATGCTCATTATAATTAAACATTTCTTGATGAATTTCAATGATTCTGTGTCTCATGTTTTCTATTTCAGTAATTAGCTTGGAAAAAAGAGAAAAAATCTTGTAAGTTACATACTGAAAATTCTCAACAGCACACATTTAAGTATCTTTTACACATATTTCAGTACAGAGTTTTTAATTGTTAGATGTTAATATTTTAAATATAATTTTTGTTTGCTTTGGTGTTTGAAACAGGGTCTATATACATATAGTTCTGGCTGTCCTAGAACTCATATGGAGACGAGAGTGTCTTAGGCCTAACAGAGATCCACCTGACTCTGCCTTCCAAGTGCCACCACACCCAGTTTTAAATATGATTTATAAAATTACTTCAAAAACCCAATTTCTTATGTATATTTAAAAATAGGAATAGAAGATTACAGTCAAAGTAAAATATTTTTCCTAAAGTAAATTACTTCCAGATGTCTCATGGTTATGACTTTCTCCTTTACATTCATACTTAAATCATATTGACCTAAATGTCCAGAACTTATCACCCTTCCACATATGCTAACCTAGCTTCTTATGCACTGAGCGCATGATTCAAAAGGTTACCTTTGCTGGATCAGTTATGTCTTCAATTCCTGATGGAAGGTCATCACCAGGAGGTCCATCATCACCACTGTGTCCATTTACAGAAGCTAATTCCCTTCTCAGTTGAATGAACTGTTCACAAGTTAAAAGATCTCTAGGCAAGTTATTCTGTACATGTTCTTTAAATCTAAAGGAAGAATTAAAAACCACATGTCAGATACATCCTACATATTATTCCTTCAAATAAGCAGAGAAATCAAAATGTCCTAACATTTCTCTTACTCTCTGTATTAAAATCCTACCACTTAATGACATATAGTTTCCATTCTTTCTTGCAGTGGAATGTAGAAAACAGATATGTAAATTCCAACTCTGTAATTATTTGATTTTTCTCTTCTCCCAATCTTAATCTATAAAACAGAACATATCTATTTTGCAAATTTAAGACACAGCTAATTCATATTAAAATTATAAAGCAATCATGAAATGGTTCCATTATCATCCCACCTACCAATTTCTTATCCACACATTTCTGTTTAGCAGCCTAATGACACTGGCTTAATTAAGGCCACCAATTGCCATACATGCAAAATTAAATTGGTATTTGTTCTCCAGTACACTCTATCTTCAACATCTGAGGCTGCTAACCATATCTTCTTACTTTTAGAATCTTCGTCACAGCTTGGTTTCTGAGGTGTCACCACTTCCTTGGTTTTCCTCCAAGTCCCTTTATGATTGCTGTTGAATCTCTCTTCTTTTCCCATTACTACCTGCCCTTAAGGTTATGTTCCCAAGAATTATATTTTTATGTACTTTCTGGCTAAAGTTATTAACAGAGCTGATAGTAGCATTCCCCAGGGCTTGCTGTCAGCTAACCCAGCTAACGGATGACCTCTAAGTCAGTGTGAGATTGTCTCAAAACTTAAGGTAAGGAGTGATCAAGAGAAACACAGGAGGGCTGGAGAACACTGGCTGCTTGCTCTTCCAAAGGACTCAGGTTTGACTCCCAGCATCCTAACTGTACTTCCAGTTCCATAGCCATCAGGAACCTATGTGGTACATAGACACACATGCAGGTAAAAGACACACATAAAATAATTTCTAAAAGATAGAAAAACACAAGACTTCTCAGCCTCTGATAAGCACATATATATTTTCTCACCAATCTGCAAATAATTAAACTGAAAACACTAATATTGCTGAGTATGGTAGTGTATATCTTTAATCCCAGCCCTTGAGAGGCAGAGGCAGGCAGAGCTCTGTGAATTCAAAGTCAGCCTAGACTATAGATTAATTCCAGGCCAGCCAGATTTACACAGTGAGACCTTATCTCAAGAAAAAATACAACAAAACCAATCAAGTAACCAACGAAAGAAAACAAATTACATTTATTGGGCTGGAAAGATGAAGCAAAAGGTAAGAACACTTGCTGGTTCATTTCCTAGCACCCACATGGCAGCTCACAATTGCCTATATCTCAAATTACAGGGGATCTTCTTGCCTCTGCAGGTACCAGGCACACACAGTACACATACATATGTATAGGTAAAATATTCATACAATGCACACAAAACCAAAAATATTACATTTATTTATTTTGGGAGGGGGCAATTTGAAGGCCAGGGAGCAACAATGATAATCAGTGCTCTCCTTCCACAAGTAGGTACTAAGAAGGATTGAACTCAGGTCATCAGACTTAGTAGTAAGAACCTTTACTTGCTAAGCCATATTGCCAGACCACATATATTCAAGCTTAAAAACCTAACAGGTCCCAGCACTTGGGAGGCAGAAGCAGGTTAATCTCTAAATTCAAGTCCAGTCTGGTATAAAGAATGAGTTCTAGGACACTCAGGGCTACACAGAGAAACCCTGTCTGGAAAAACCAAACAAGAAATAAACCTAGCAGGATACTCATTTTAAAAGAGATTTGGAGGCTGGAAAGAGGGCTCACTAGTTAATAGCATACACCATTATCATAAAACATCAGAGTTCAGTCACCAGCACCCATGCTAGTTGGCTCACAGCCACCTCTAATTCCAATTCCAAGGGAGCTGACGCCCTCTTCTGGACTCCACAAACAGACAACTGCACTCATGTACACATACCACTTTCCCAAGCCACAATTTATGTATATTATAAATATATTGAACATATAGAATATATAAAAATCTCAAGATCTAGAAGAATTGAGAATATAGCTCCATGGTAAATAAAACATTTAGAAAACACATCTAAAAAAACTGGACACTGTCTGAAGGGCATTATCTCCTTCCCCGATGATTTTTCTGTTTCCAGGTAATCGTGAAACAAGGAGCTTTGGAAACTATGTACTTTCCACCAGTACATTCTGCTTCAATGAAGGCACTGAAGTAAGAGTCAAGTGACCATGGGCAGCTACTATCGACAGTTAATGGTTTCCTGGAAACAGTCAGTTTTCCTTAAGTAGGCCAGTCCCTGGTAGGTTGACCATACTCCAGTGGATGACTTCATACACCATGAGTGTATTGGGTTATATGTTAAGAAAGGAATACAAAATAAAACAAAACCACATACATACATACCAGTTGGGATTAAGGGGTACATATTATTAAAATAAAATGTATGAAACTCTCAAAAAACATAAAATATATAAAAGCGACTGTTCCAGTAACAGAAAGCTAGCATTCCCTTAAAATGTCTTGGAAACAAATGTACCGCATTTTAGACAAGTAAGAATTGATCTATAAAAATGTCTTGTCTTTGGTCTTCACTTGCACAACATGCATATTTATCAAGCGCTGTCAAATACCAAGTCTTGTGCTAAGTATTTCAGCAAGTGTGTGCCTCCCTCATTAAATCCTAGAAACCTGTCTACCTGTTCTGCCTCATCAGTAAGAGAAAGGACACCAACCTACAATGCTTCTGTTTATATTTTTCTTTCTAGTTTCTATTCCAACACAAGTTCATGTAACTTCTATTTTCAGCAAATTTACCTATAGCAGTTTACAAATATTCATTACACTTAATTGTAAAATTAATATCATGTAAAAATTTCAATATACAACATTACTCATGACAATTCACAAAATTCCACAAAATAGCTTGGTGTGGTGGTATACACATGTAATCTCAGTACATAGAGGGTGACACAGGAGAATCACAAGCTCAAGGTTAGCTGAAACAGTCTCAAAAGAAAGCAATGCTAGACAAAGTACATGTGTTACGTATACTCATACTAAGGAGTTAAAAATGGAAAACAGCAAAGACACAATCTCATTCACTTTCTGGTTGCAGCAGGAAAAGACACATGGAGCTGAGCATGGTAGCATACACCCGCCAACTACAGGTCTGAGGAAGCACAAGAAGGAAGAGATGCAAGGTCAAGGAACACGGCTGCCACACAGTAGTCCTAGGTCAGCTACAGCTACCTAGCAAGACCCTATCTCAAAACGAAACAAAACCAAAGCTAAACTTGGAAACCATAGTACACAGAATTGTTAAGTAGTTATAATGACCTTGCAAAGTTATTTAAATGACTTATTACCAGAAAAATCAGGATGTAAAATTTTAATAGAATGATAATAATTTGAACAGGGACAGAAAAATGTTTAACACCTAAACTACAATCTTTGCTGTTCACATAAAGAGAACATCAGGAATGTACATTTTGTAAATCATTAAGTTGTAAAAAACAAAACAAGAACTAGCCAAACACCGTATGTTGTATGTCTATTATTTCAGATCCTGAGATGCTGAATGAGAAGGATTAAAGACTCTAGGCAAGCATGGAAACACAGAAACACACTCTATCTCAAAAAATATAAAAAAAGCACTTAATATTTGCCAACTACCATATAAATTTAGTACCACCAAAAAATCATTTATGAAAGTCTATTTTCTCATTTCTTCACTGTTCTAAAGTACCTCAGACATAAAATGGACAAGGATAACTTTCAATATAAAACTAGTAAATTATTAAACATTTCATATGATACAGGAAAAATGATTAAATTAAGACAATTTTTTTCCTCTAGAAAATTAGTTTCCTCTAATAAGGTCCTATATAACATTTCAAAATAAACTGCAATGCTCAATATTGGGAATTGATCATCTACATAACCAAAGATATTTCAAAGAAAAGATCTTTCAACATACCTCTGGAAATGATGACTATAGAGCTGCGTTGGAATACCAAGAATACGATCATATACAGCTGTAACTTCTCTCAGATTGCCCTGTTCATTTTCCCAGTTTATATACATTTCCCATAGTTTGTCAGATCGAAAATCTGTTCCTGCAGCTAGAACAGCATGCTCAAAAGTTCTGAAAAATTAAATTGCTGTTAAGTTATCTTCCCCAAATAAAATAGCTTCTAATTATTATTAAATTTAGAAAGTAATATTCAATTGCTTTCTAGCCAAGCATGGATTAAAAAGTAGAAGCAATCATAGAAGAGTTGCTTAAAGGAAGAATAAGTAAAAAACAAAAGGAAAAGATGAGTGTAGTTTACCTTATACATAATTACAATGTAAAAAGGAAACATTTCCAAGGAAGTAATAGGAACACAGTAGTAGATAAGTTCTTGTTATGTATTTGAAATGTCAAATATAATGATTCCTTTAGAATACAGAACAAAACGAAAGAATTTACAGGGAAACTATATCTCAATTTGAGGAATACTTTAGCAAAAATGACTGCAACAAGAGACTCAAACTAAAAATATATAATCTCATGAGAAGTATACAAAGACTTCAGAACTCTCAAAAGCACCTTACAATTCTAAGAGTTGATTATGGAAGCACTTTTTGCTTTAAACAGGTATTTGGCTAAATTTCAAGAGATACCTGTTTTTCACTAGATTTGATGTTTAATAAACAAAGCTCATGCCGGGCGGTGGTGGCACACGCCTTTAATCCCAGCACTCGGGAGGCAGAGGCAGGTGGATCTCTGTGAGTTAGAGGCTGGGCTGGACTGACAGCCTCCAAAACAATACAGAGAAACTCTGTCTCGTAAAACAAAATAAATAAATAAATAAATAAATAAATAAATAAATAAATAAATAAATAAGCAAAGCTCAAGACTGGGTAGATGGCTCAGCAAGTTAAGTGCCTAACTACAAAATGTGAGGATTAGAATTCAAATGTCCAAAACCCTTGGAAATAATAAGTGATGGGCATGGCAGCCTGACCAGAACTACAGCAGTAGGAAAGAAGATGCTAGGTAGCTTAAACTTCAGTGAACATGTTGTCAAGTGACCAGGGAAAACACCTGGAAAGTCAACTCTGGGATCCCACACATACACACTCAGTGTACATGAAAATTACAGTAAGACAAAGAACACTTTCTGGTACAGTTTCAAAGTAAGCATCTTAAAAACAAGCAAGGGTCAGTGAGAGATAGGTAATGTCACAAAGTGGAAGAAGAGAACCACAAGCTCACAGACCTGCAGCATACCCTCCCCCATACACACAGAAGTTTTAATATGTTATGAAAATTCAAGTGAAAACAAACAAAACAAACAACTAGGCTCATTTACATCAAAGAGACCACATTTCCTAAATTATCTTTTAACACAATGTCTAATTTAGGCAGAACAGAGTATTCAAATTTTATAGTCTGAAACTACAAATGTTTTTATAAGGGTAAGGCAGTAAGCATTTCCTGAAATTATCATAAGAAATTCAGACATAGTTTCCGGGACACTTAGCAGAGACATGGTATACATACATATATGCAAACAAACATTTATTTACACAAAACAAAAATATAAATATTTTAAGTAGTGGGGGGACACAACAGAAAAATGAATGTGTAAGAATTTAATGTACATAAAGGGGGCATTTTTTATTTTATTTTATTTTATTTACTTCTTTGGTTTTTCTAGACAGGATTCCTCTGTGTAATAGCTCTGACTGCCCTGGAACTAACTCACTTTATAGACCAGGCTGGTCTCAAACTCACAGAGATCTGCCTACCTCTGCCTCCTTAAGTGCTAGGATTAAAGGTATACACAAGGGAGGCATGTTAAATCAACATATAAAACCTGGACTACTTAGCAAAAAGGAATGATTAATGTGTATTCCACAATAGTCAGGTGAATGACAGAAAAGTATTTAAAATTAAAAGTATAGGGCTTAAGAGATGGCTAGAAGTTTTGATTCTCAGCACACATAAGGTGCCTCAATCATGTGTGACTCTAGTTAAAGGGGGCTCCAACAACCTTTTATGGCCTCCACATACACCAGGCACATATACGTTGCAGACATACATGCAAGCAAACCACCTATATATAAAATAAATTTTCAAATTAAAAATACAGAATTTAATACTCTTGCTAAGAAAGACTAAGAACTCAGAATCCAGCAACTCAATTTTTAAAGATGGGACTTATCATGTAGCCTTGGCTGGCCTGGAATACACTATGTAGACCAGCCCTACTCCAAACTCAGAGATCTGCCTGCCAGAGTGCCAGGATTAAAGACATGTGACATCACGGCTGTCAGGACTGAATGTTTTAATACATTAGGGAAAACACTATAATAAATAGACACTGAACAACGTTTATTACTTTTCTTTTTATATACTTTTAGTATTTCTATTTATTTATTTCCATTTATGTGTCTATATGACTATGAGTATATGCAGAGTCCAGAATGGGGCACTGGATATCCTGGACCTGTATTTACAGATGGTTGTGAGACACCAGATGTGGATACTGGAAACTAAACTTCGGTCATTTGGAAGAACACCATGTGCCTTTAACCAGTAAGCCCCTTTACCATGCACAAAACAAAGTTTGAAGACATTAATATTGGAAGAAATGTTTATTATACAAAGATAAATCTAAAGTGTCCAAGTGTGTATGTGCACGCTTATGCACGTTTATATGTAAAGAGTTGGGCAGTGGTGGTGCACACCTTTAATCCCAGCATTCAGGAGGCAGAGGCAGGTAGATCTCTTGTGAGTTAGAGGCCAGCCTGTTCTACTGAGTGAGTTCCAGGACAGGCCCAAAAGCTACAGAGAAACTCTGTCTCAAAAAAAAAAAAAAAAAAGAAAGAAGAAAATAAAAAGATAGATATTACTACCCAAGAACAATCTCAGTGAATCCAGAAAAGTACCAGACACCTCGTAAAGCTGGGGAAAGATAATGTAATAAAGGGGAGGATGGTTAAATGGAGATGTGCTTAATCTATGGTGAGGAATCTTTAACTCTGGCCAGCTGTGAGATTTCAGAATTTAGGCCTACATTCCTCAGGCAGATCAGCTGCTCTTCCTCTAAGAAATTGCTTAAAGTAAGCCTTAGACCAACAGGATTCCTCCAAAAACAACCACAACCAAAAAACCTGAATGGTGGTTTTTTTTTTTTTTTTTTTTTTTTGGTTTTACGAGACAGGGTTTCTCTGTACTGTTTTGGAAGCTGTCAATCCAGCCTGGCCTCGAACTCGCAGAGATCCGCCTGTCTCTGCCTCCCGAGTGCTGGGATTAAAGGCATGTGCCAACACCGCCCGGCCTAAATGGCTTTTAAATTATTTTTTATTTCAAGTATCCTCTATGAAGAAGTTATATACTTCTACAAGGTGGGCATTATCAAGAAAGAAAAGGATCTATTAAACTCCAATAAACAGAGGAATAAAGTAAACACATTTCCTAGAACCATGGTGATGAAAATAATCCAAAAACTGCATGGCAGGACTAGATGACAGCACAGACTATAGACTGCAGAAGAGAGACAGCTAAAAACGGGTGAGGAAAAACAAAAATAAGATTTATATTTTATTAACAGGTCTGTTTGGAAAGCTATATGAAAAGCCTTTTATTAGACAAACAAAAAGCATGGCTAAGTGAGAAGTAGTTTAACTCCAGGGAAAATAAGACGATTAAAGATGAATATGCTGTAAAGTAGCCATAGACTCAAAATGACTACAATATATACACTGATTTACCGAAACCTGTCCTGTAGCTATCCTGAAATGGTATATGCAAGTATTTTTTTGGGGGGGTTCGAGACAGGGTTTCTCTGTATTGCTTTGGAGCCTGTCCTGGAACTTACTCTGTAGATCCAGGATGGCCTCAAACTCAGAGATTCCTACCTCTCAAGTGCTGGAATTAAAGACGTGCACCACCAACATCCGACTCACATGTATTCTTCATAAAAGCATAAGTGCTTTAAACTGCTGAGCCATCCCTCCAACCCTAATATACCCATATTAAAAGAAAGTTATCATGGGTGGGGGGATGATTACTTTCATGTTGTTTGTGAGAGTGTAAAATTGATGCCATTTTTGAGGAATGTTTGTTAAAATGTCTCTGCAAACAGATGTTCTATGAACATATACACAAAAACTATACATCCAGAGACATTTTTACAGCACTATTTCCTATAAGAAAAATTTGGTCAAATAAAAACAGGACTTTAACATATTTTTTTGCAAGTTAAAAGAATATTTGGGAGATAATATAAAACATCCTGGAAAATAAAAACAAGGTGAAGAACAGTATGTAAAATTCACATACAAATTTGTACATTATATAACATCTGGAGGCATTGACATTAAGACACTATCCGTGGGGGCTAGAGAGATGCTCAGTGGTTAAAGCACTTGCTGTTCTTCCAGAGAACCCAGGTTCAATTCCCATCACATACATCAAAGCCCACAACTGTCTCTAACTCCAGTTCAGGGGATCCAATGCCTCTCTGGCCTCCTGGGGCACAAGGCACACAGGTGACAAACAGACATAACATGCAGACATGAAAACAAAAAGCTAACAAACTGCACTAGCCATGAAGTGGTGGTGCACACCTTTAATCCCAGTACTCAGGAAGCAGAGGAAGGAGGATCTCTAAATTTGTGGCCAGACTGGTCTACAAAGTGAATTCCAGGGCAGCAAGGGCCACACAGAGAAACCCTGTCTCAATACCCCTCCCAACCACCTCTCCCAAAGAAAGACATTAACTACAAGTGAGCAACATGGGAACTTGCAAACTAGAGACATAAGTTAAGGGGGTGTGGGAAAGAGGAAGATTGCATTTTTTAAACCATAAAGAGTAAGTTTATTTCATGTACTATTTTTTTAAATAACAGGAATGAAGCAAATAAATATTAACTTTCAGTTTAGCATTTATGAATAGTTCTCTGAATACTTAAATATCTAAGCCTTCAAATACATTAAGTATTTAACATACCCTCTTATTGTACTGTTTGTCTCAGGATCACCAGGGTCCAATGTTTCTTTTAAGAAGTTTATATAATGTATCCAAAGATCAACACTAAGAGGTATTGCCTGAAGCCCCCGTCGATAAACCTAAGAAGAAAACAATAAACTGTACCTCAAATATTGAATTATTTCTTAAAAAGAGAGGCAACACTGTGTTATCCGGTGAACCTTAGAAATACTAATTACTGGAATTTTGTTTAAATAATCTACCATTACCATTTGGGTGGAGGTTGGATAGAACATGGCAATGTTCTGATCCCCACGTGCAGAGTCTTGATCTTCAAAGCGCAGCAGTCCCTGCATTCTGACCGGGTTGTGTGGGCAGGCTTTGGGTTACAGACCATAGGGCACAGACCCATTAGAGCATCAATGACAGCGTCTGACCAAAAATGCAATAAGACGTAGCAAACGTGACTAGCAAACCAACTATATTGTTTGGAAATTGAGAAATAAATGTAAGTGAGAGAAAAGCCCTGCCCTACTTGTTAAGCTGCAGTGTAATACAGAGGCTTGCACTGCAAAGCTTGACAAACTGTAGAGGTTTAACGCACCTGCCAACAAAGAGAGAAAATATTAGCTACAAATGCCACAATAGTGACAAATGCAAATAAAATACCCTATAAAAAAAAGTTTGATCATAAATGGTAGGTACTGCCAGCCAGAAAAAGAGAGTCTGCTTGTTATTAATTGGCTTACAGTACCTAACAGAGAAAACTGCATTCATTGATGTACGCACCTCATCTGATTGTTTAATGTTGTCATGTCGTTTTTCAAGGTCTGCATACTTTTTCCAGTAACCATAGCAATATGGGTAGTGTATGAAAAATTTGTCAAATGCTTTTCTGGCAGCCATCAAGTGATTCTGATGAAAATAAAACAAAGTGTTTAAACATCTTAGAAGCTTTTATCAAATAAAGAATAAGTACTAACTTTGTCAAATAGCAGGAGAGCTTCTGTTTTCCAGAGCTGGGGACCAAACCCAGGCTCTCACAGATGCTAGGCCAGTGTGTTCCACCTCACTGAAGTACATTCTCATATCACCAAGGTAACTATTTCACTAATTTTACATATCCACACAAGCCTCAATTATTATACAATATTTAGCATTGTGTCTACATACTTTGTACAATGCATAACGCTATGTAATTTTCAAAGCTAAAATATATGCTTCTAGTATTATTGAACTTAGCCTGAGGATTATACTTTAATTACAAAACAGTAAGCCACAGCGTTGGTGACGCATGCCTTTAATCCCAGCACTCAGGAGGCAGAGTCAGGCAGATCTCTGTGAGTTCGAGGCCAGCCTGGTCTACAGAGCAAGTTCCAGGACAGCCTCCAAAACAATACAGAGAAACCATGTCTCGAAAAACAAAAAAACAAAACAAGACAAAACAAAACAGAAAGCCTTGAATTGATGCTACTATATTATTCTGACCCTCTTATACATAGCATTTAAATAGTTACTAACCTCCTGTTCTACGTACTGAAGCAAATATACCCAGCCTGTAAAATCCTGAGGATTAGTTTCTACTGTTTTCCAAAATTTTTCAAATTCTGGAGGGAAGCTTCCTTCTGTTTCTGTCACTGGAAGGTCTACAGCATTTGCCATTTCATTTTCTTCTGTAGATGCGTTCACGCTGGGAGAGCCATCGGGTGATTGTTCCATCTCCGTAACGTTCATAATCTCAGTACTAAAATCTGGATGCGTTACTACTACCTCTGAACTGTTGCCTGTGCTGCCATTATCAGAGTTTCTGTACTCATCCATGTGAGAATTTTGCATAGCTACTTATTTGGTCTTCAGTCGATGATCTGCAGAAACACACACATATACAAAAGAGAAACAGATTCCAAATGCTAGTAAACTTATTTTGTCATGACCAAAAATTTTTTCTGTAGATTTTGTTTTATGTGCACAAATGTTTTGCCTGCATGCATGTATGTGCACCCTGTGCAAGCTTAATCCCCAAGGTCAGAAGACAATGCTGGATCCCCTGGAACTAGAATTACAGATGGTTGTGAGCCACTAGGTGGGGGCCAGGACCTAAATCTGGATCTTCTGGGAGAGAAGCAAGTGCTCTCAAATGCTGACTTATGTCTCCTGCTCCATACTTTCTAAAGCCCTGTTTGCCTACTAAAAACATAGAACAACTAGCACTTTTTACTGATTTATCCGTCTACAAGTAATAGAAATTTTATTGATAATAACTATCAATTCTCCTGTAACAGTCTCCCAAGTACCTGAGATTACAACGCCAGATATACCCGGCAATAAACAGTTCAGGTGTGCCTAACCTTTTGATATAACAGCCGTTATCACCTACAAAGATAATGCTGGAGAACTCTGCACCCGAGTTATCCACCCCTCCCCCAAATTTAAATCACACAAAGTTTTAAGTAAGTCTACTATTTTGTGTTTGACTGATAGCTATCCCCAGACACATATGGCCCTGAAGACCACACTCTATACACATCTAAAAGAAATTTATTAGTTCATATGATATTTTATTATGCAACAGGAATTGTGTTAGCAGTGGTTCTCAATTTGTGGGTTGTGACCCCTTTTGGGGTTGAACAACATCCCCTTTCATAGGGGTCATCTACTGGAAAACACAGATATTTACATTTCAATTATTAACAGTAGTAAAAGTAGTTATGAGGTAGCAATGAAAATAATTTTATGGTTAGGAGTCACAACATGAGGAACTGTATTAAAGGGTCACAGAATTAGGAGGGTTGAGAAGCACTGTGTTAAACAGCTTGCAACTGTCAATGCTGGCACCTAATGTTCTTGGCTAATCTCTACTTCATTAGAAGAGAGTTGTTTAAAGAAATGCTCAAAATCAAAGAGGAAGAAAATGAACAGCAGAAGTACACTAGTTAATACTGTCCTTTCCTAATGAGATAAACAAAAGCTTTCCCAGAGTCCTACTGCACTTACAGCCTCTTACTCCCTTACCTGGAATTAGGTATACTGCAGCTTGACAAAATGAGTTTTCTACGAGTAAAGATAATCTAAGAGGCATAGTGAACAGGTAACTCTTGTCCACCAGATATCACATAACTCTTCAAGAGATATTAAGCGTAACCCCAGATCTTTACTTTTTCTTTGATCCAGAAGTTCTAGTCAGCATTTGCCCACATTTTTACATGTACATGTATATGACTGAATGTATGTACAGCACCATATGTGTGCAGGTGACTGGGATCAAAGAGAGCACTGAATATCCTGGAACTTTAGTTACAGCCAGCAGTGAGCCATCCAACATGGGTGCTGGGAACCAAACCTGGTTCCCTTATAAGAACAGCAAGCACTCTTCATTCACGCTGCTATTGTAATAATTACTATCTCTCCTACACATCAGTGCTTTTTTTTTTCAAACTAAAGACTGCTTCAAGCTAGCTTCGGATTTCTTTAAACAGAAAAAACAAGTAAGCAAACAAACAAACAACCCTCCAAAACAAAACAAATACAAGGATGTGACAAGCCATTAATCTCAGCTTGGGAAACAGATGTAAGAAGATCAAGTGCTCTGCAATGGGCTATGCAGGAAGGCCCTGACTGAACAACACAATCAACTGTAATCTCAGTACTCAGGAGAATGGATTGTGTCACATAAAGTCCAGCCAGTTTGAGTTATATAGAAGACCCTGTGTTTGGGATTCAAAGGTGGCTCGGGTCTTTATAGCATCTATTTTTTTCATGGTGGGTTGCTCATAACTGCCTTCAACTCTATCTCCACGCAGTATCCTATACTCTGCGTTCATACCCACCTGACTGACATGCACTACAGACATACACATACAGAGGAAAAAGTAAGAAAACGAACAGCACACATACATGTTATGTGCATATGCTGAAATATACAAACAATTCAACTCATATTTACACCTTTTGAGTGCAGTACAAAAAGTTAAAATACTTCACTGCTCTACTATTGATACAGATGAACAAATCTTATTAGATTTAGGGAGGAAGGAACTTTGTTTTGCTCAGTGTTGTATCCCTAGAAACCGTTTAACAGATGACATATCCAGTCCTGACTTGGCAATATGGTACTCCTCAGAGTAACAAAATTCTTCATTCCCACAAATCACCACAGTAATGATTTACTAAGCATACTTTCATATGCTGTGAAATTTTCTTATAAAATGATACTGATGGCAGACTCAAACATGTGAGGTTAAAAACCTAAGTATATATTCCATGGAAACAGTCCCTCCATACTGCAAATTCAACTGTTTATTTTATTTAAGGCCTATTAAATAATTACCTGCCTAACAATCAGGATGCTATTTTTAAAAATTAAAAGGAATTTCACAAAATGACTTAAAATGATGAAAACTCACTAAACATGTGCATTTGACCTAACCCTTTTCCCCCGACGCTTTGCATGCCTCCTATGCTCATGGAGGCATAAAAAACACTATCTATCATTGATTGTTACCATAAACCACGTAAGTAATATATATAAACTGAAGTCATTAGTTAACTAGATAGCTGGCTTTACAATCCACAAATTACTCCATGTCTCAGCCACAGATGAGTCATCTGAATACCTCTTACAAGAAAGGGGTCATTATAACAAGTGGTTTTGGCAACCGGCTTTTAGAGACTAAGTAGGGTGTTCGCAGACAGACCTTGTTTCCTCATTTTAAACAATCATGTGCCAGAAACTGAACTTTGTTTATATATTTACAATGTCTGCATAATCTTCACAGCTTATGTCTTACACGGAACTCTTAACACATTAACAGAGGATTCTGCTCCTCCTTGAAAACGCACAAATCCGAATTTTATAACTTGACATACAACATCTTTTTTCTCAACTCAACTCGAAGGCAGAAACAGCACTAAGTGTCGAGTCTTTTAAAAACCCTGGGGCCTGCAAAATGGCTCGGCAGGTAAAGGCACTAGCCGCCAAGCCTCAGGGGCACTGCGGAAAGTTCCAAATTTTTGAATGAGGTTACAAACTGAGGGGAGGAAGGGATTTAACAGATGTTATCGCAACAGACTCAAAAGGCTGCCAGGGATTCCAAAGCACTTAAGCCCCCCCCCCCCACACACACACACATTGACTTGTAGGAACCGTCCATCCTTGGCGTCACCCTTCCCAGCACCGGAAAATTTTCAAAGTATGTCTGCATACGTTACATTCGTTTTCTAGTGTTAAGTTCTCCAACAGAAGGGGCACCTGAATCGGCAGGAGGCTATACAGTACTCTGCGTCACCACAGCAACCGTAGCCGGTACTGTGCGGGCTCCTGACCACCAAAGGTGAAAACCCCCAAGAGCAGACTGTCCAGAAAGGATTCCGCGAGGCTCTTCCACGTGTCCGTCTGTCTGTCCGTCCGCCCCCTCCCCCCAAACGGCAATCGGCTCCGCAGTGCCCGCCGTCCTGGCCCCCAGGAGCCCCCTCCACTTCCCGTCGCCCTGGCCACGCGTGTTCCCTGGGCCGCCGAGGCTCGGGATTCAGCCTCCACGCGAAGCGAGCTCGCAAAGCCAGACGGAGGCTCGCTCCCCCCCCGGCCCTCCCGCCGCACCCCTCCGGCCCCGCTCGCCCCAACAGGTGGGACCGGGGAGGAAACGCGCAGCCAGCCCGGCGCCAGCGCACGCCAGCCAGCAGGCCTCGAGCCGGACGAGCAGGCGAGGCCGCGGCCCGGTGCGGCCTGAGGCGGCGCAGGCCCTTTCCCGTCCCGGCGCCCTCCCCTGCCACCCGCTTCAGGGCGCCCTCCGCAGCTACCTCACGACGGACGCCGCTCGGTGCCATGAGCCGAAGCCTGGGTCAAGCTCGCCAGAGATGGGCCTCCCAACGCCTCAGTCCACGCAGCTGCCTCGGCCGCCAACGCCGCCGCCGCCACCAGCGCCGCCGCCTCTTCGGGGACACACTGCGCATGCGCCGGCGAAGCCTGCGGCGCAGCGGTCACGTGGTGTGAACCCCATAGGCCCCGCCCTCCGTAGACTCTAGGCACGGACTTGTTCTTCCCTGGATCTCTGATCTCAAAACACCGAGTACTCGCTGCCCGACCTCGGTCTCCAAGAAGACCTCTAAAATGGCTTTCCTTACCGCCCAACCTTTACCCGTAGACATTTATCAGGAAATGGCCAGAAATTCAGCCTAAAACCTGCAAACGTCAAGACCCTGTGGGCTCTAATTCATATTCATAATTCTAATTCATAATTCAAGTGCTCTGAATGTGGGAACCTCGTGGGGCCTGCGGGAGCTATGTATAAAGCTTCCCTCTGGACACAGAGAGGAAGCCTTGTGTTGACGATCTTAGCAGTTGTATAGACTCTAGCTCCCGGCGTTAGATATCTTTGTAAAACTCTCGGCTTCTTGCTGTCAGACAGCAACAGGTGATCAAGTGTACATTTATTTAGCACTCACCAGCCTCCTGTCCCGGCTTCAATAAGATCACATCTGGGTTTTAGCCCCTTCTGTAACATGAATAAATAAAAGACTCAGAGACAGATATTGAGTTCCAAGCTGAAGAGCAGGGTGTGAGCTTTAACTCTCTTTTAGACTGACTCACGCTTGTGTAGATCTGGGTGGCCTTGGACTCACAGAGATCCGTCTATCTCTTAATCCTGAGTCCAAGGATTAGAGGTGTGTGCCACCACCTCCTAGCTTCTAGCTGCTGGGGTTAAAGGTGTGTGCCTGAGCCGGGCATTGGTGGCCCACGCCTTTAATCCCAGCACTCGGGAGGCAGAAGCAGGCGGATCTCTGTGAGTTCGAGGCCAGCCTGGTCTACAAAGTGAGTTCCAGGACAGCCTCCAAAGCCACAGAGAAACCCTGTCTCGAAAAACCAAAAAAAAAAAAAAAAAAAAAAAAAAAAGACGTATTTAGCTTACACAGCTGTTTGCCTGCATGATGTATGAGGGCTACATGTTTGCAATTCCTAGGGAGACCAAAAGAGGGCAGTCTTTACCAGTTACACCAACTTTCTCACACTTTCCCCCTAGCTCGAAATAATTCACTGTACTAGAGCTCTTAAGTATCTAAATCTTAAGTATCTAAAACATTCCATATGATTAGCCTAAAATGTGTTTCTCACCACTGAAAACATTACTTAGGCATGCCTATAATCACACTTGGCAGGTAGCAGCAGAAGAATCAGGAGTCTGAGGTAATATTCAGCAGTGTGAGTTTGAGGTGAGCCTAGGCTATGTAAGACTCAAGCCAGCAACCGCAGCAAAAAGAAAATGACACGGACCACTTTGCAAACAGATTGAGTCATAGTTTGCCTTAAATTGGATACCCTAGTTATAGGCATTAGGAAGAAAAAAGTGTTAGACCAAATCCTGAAGCTTATACTCTAGTGGTGTCTATAATAGTATTTAAAGTCACCTGATCTAGAAGCTGAGAACAAGATCTAAAGAGGGAAGGGGTTGGTCATCACTGTCATACATTCCCTCCTCCTGGTCAGTTCTATGCCGGCCTGCTCTGTTCTCGGGAGACTGACCCTTACATACTGTCAGTCTCCCTTGCTCCCTGGCTCCTGGATCCGGCCAGTTGTCCTTGATTAAATGGCATAGAGGAGTGAAGTGAAGTGGGGTATTCATCTCCCCTGCTCTGTTTAGGGGTCTCAGATCTGATCAAAGTGTCTCTCTCCGCATCAGCTGCTGCTTCTTCCAGACCCCAGGTTTTCCTAAAACCAGCTTTTGCAAATAGTAACTTCTCAAATCCCGATGTTGGTCTTCTATTTCTCTCTAAGATCTAGACTTGTGAAAGAGCAAAATGGTTCTTTCTGGACTATTTAGTACAAGATTTCTTTTCCATGATTTTCAAAACATAGCATTACCCAGCTGTAACATGAAAAATAAAAGACCCAGGGATAGATATTGGGGTTCAAACTTCATGCTGAATATCAGAAAAGCAAAGCAGCTGGCAACTAGGTTCTTACCTCTGCCTCAGGCTGAAAGGGCTGATCCTGATTCCAGGAGCTCTCACAAGCCTCAAACTGTAACCTCTCTTCATCGTGGCTGGAGAATGAATGCCTCATACTCTCCATACTGAAGACCTTGTTTCTATCTTTTATACCCCTCTAGTGCTGGGATTAAAGGCGTGTGATCTGTCGTTCTTTTAGACTCATTCAATCTTGTGTATTCCTGGGTGGCCTTGAACTCAGAGAGCTCCCTCTACCTTTTAATCCTGAGTCCTACCTTCTGACTGCTGGGATTAGAAGTGTGTTTTCCTGACTTCTATGCCTTGTGGCTGACTTTGCTTTCTGAATCCCCGGGCAAGCTTTAATAAATCATAAATAATATGTCACCATATCCAGCTACCAGTTATTGTGGCACATTTTTTCTTCCTTCTCATCTCCTCCTCTCTTCTTCCTTTTAAAGCATACTATAGGATTCATAGATAGTAAAGTGGTTCTGTGACAAATTAACACATCCATTATCTCACATGGGTTTCCTTGGTGTCTGTGCATGTATGTGGCAGAAGCAACTGAATTATATTCATTCGACAAGAATCCCAAATAATTTTAATAGGCTATTAGCATAGTACTATTAACTACAGTCCTCCTGTTGTACATTAGCTATCTACATTTATTCATGATATGTATCAACTATTTCACATTTTAAAACCCTATAGCCGCCAGGCGTTGGTGGCACATGCCTTTAATCGCAGCACTTAGGAGGCAGAGGCAGGCGGATCACTGTGAGTTCGAGACCAGCCTGGTCTACCGAGTGAGTTCCAGGACAGGCTCCAAAACAATACAGAGAAACCCTGTCTCGAAAAACCAAAAAAAAAAAAAAAAAGAAAAAAAAGAAACCCCTATAGCCATCATTTTCCTAGGTGCCGATCCTACCCTGTCTGCTCTATTCTCTATCATTGCATTTTAGCTTTTGGTTTGGTTTTGTTTTGTTCCTTCAGTGTGAAATGATGCAGTATTTCCCTTTTTCAGCCTGACTTATTTCATTTAACATGATGTTCCAAGATCAGCTGTTTCCAGGTTTTCATGGGAAAAATCTCATGACAGTGGAGCTGGAACATGGCTAGGGTTTTAAGAGCACTTGTTCTTGCAGAGGACCTGGGTTCAGTTCCCTACGCGCACAAAGTGGCTTACAACCATCTGTAACTCTAATGTTCTCTTCAGACCTTCACAAGCACCACACCACACAGTGCATAAAAGTATATGAAGGTAAAACACTCATACACATAAAGCAAAATAAACAAATCTTTTAAAAAAACCTTTAAGTCTTGGAGGTTTCTTTAAAATATGACCTCAAAAATAAAAATACATAAGTGTGCATCAAACTGAAAAGCCTCTGCACATGCCTATAATCTCAGCCCTCTGGAGGCTGAGGCAGAAGGAATAACATGAACCCTAAGGTAGCCTGAGCAACACGGGAGCCCCAAGGTCAGTCTGGCCTAGGTATCAAGAGCCTGAGCCTGGGTCCAGACCAGACTAATTCAAACCAAACTCCAACAAGGCTTCTGCACAAATGTAACACGAAAATAAAACAGTCAGAGACTGATATTGGGGTCAGGCTTCAAGCTAAAGATCAGAAAAGCTTTTACCTCTGCTTCAGACTGAAAGACAATCCTGGCTCCACCGAACCTCAGACTTCAATCCCAGACTGCTATGCTCTCCTCAGCATGGCTGGAGACTCCTGAGATTGACTACTGAAGACCCTGATCCTATCTTTTATACCTCTCAAGTGCTGGGGTTAAAAGGCGAGAGCTCTGTTACACTTTTAGACTGATTCACTCTCTCGTAGCCCTGGTGGCCTTGAACTCTGAGAGATCCATCTGCCTTTGTCTCCTGAGTCCTGGGATTAAAGGTGTGTACCACCACTGCCTGATCTCTATAGCTTGAGGCTGACTTTGCTTTCTGAATTTTCAGGCACTCTTTAGTAAATAATACATAATACACAGAAAAGGAAATAATCAACAGTATAAAGAGACAACACTTGAAATGAAATGAATATTTTCAAACCATAATGCTTTCAAAGGATTAACTTCCAACTTTAAAAGGGAATTCACACAACTAGCAAGAAAAGCAAGAACCCCTCCTTTTTTTTAATGTGCACATGACTCAAACAGCAAAGAACATAAATGGGAGGGCTAGATGGGTCAGAAGTAAGATGCTTGCCATTAATCCTGACAATCTGAGTTCAATTCCCAGAGCTCCTATAGTGGAAGGAGAATACTGGCTCCTGCAAGTTGTCCTCCAACCGACCTCTACACACATGTAGCTTGTGTGCTTGTATGTACATATACAACACACACACACACACACACACACACACGAACAAGGATTGGCCAACAGCATGTGAAGAAAATGTCCAACATCACTATTCATTAAAGAAATACATTATAAACATACAGAGAATCAGGTGAAGAGGCTCATATTTGTTTTATTTATATATTTATGATTTTTTTTTCTTTGAGACAGGGTTTCTCTGTGTAGTTTTGTAGACCAGGCTGGCCTCGAACTCACAGAGATCTGCTTGCCTCTGTCTCCTGAATGCTGGTTTTAAAGGCTCATACTTGTCATTTCAACACGGGGTGGGGGGGGTGGGAATTGGCAAAAGGGTCATGGTTTCAAGGCTAGATCCTATCTCAAAATCAAACAAGTAAACAACCAACAAAGCTACAATGAGTTGTCATGCTAATCCTGCTAGCATTCTTTCCTACAAAGACAAGGGATGTGGAGGGGGAAAAAAAGGATACATGCATACAAAATGACAAAACAAATTGAAATTTTCAAAAATCAAAAATATAGCTAGTATATGATACTCTCAAAATATACTTATGGCTTCTTGGTATACAGCAAAGGAAAATGAAATTGTTACAACAAAAGGTGTTTATGTCCACATTCATTACAGAATTATTCACAGCAGAAATGTGAAATCCATTGTGTTGAACAG